CTTTTTGTTTTTAATTATTAACAATTTAACAATTTTCTTTTTCCATGTACAATTTTTAACATATCCTTTTTTTAATTGGATTTCAAGTTTAAACTAAACAAAAGAAAAAAATATTATTATATATTTTAAAAAATCTTTGTTTCTTCCAGTGTATTTTGTCTTTATTTTTATGTTGTAATACAATTTCTTTTATGTCATTTCACACATAAGTATCCTACCATAAATAAATAATCTATCGAGTTATTTTCTCTTCAGTGCTGGTGGGAAAATCCTGTAGAAAATGTGGCATTTTGGTATATTAATATTCCGTTGAGATTGTCCATCTGAAGTCTGAAACTAGAAAAAGACTTGGAGAAAGTAAAGTTGGACAACTTTGGAAAAGTAATAATAATACGAAAAAATGGGATTATTAGCAGGGAGAGGCAATCGTATCGGCTGAAACATGTCATACGATTTTATTTTATTCCTGGAGTTTTACTGTTGTTAATCCCTGGTAGCATATTTTTCACGCTTTTGCATTTATGCTTTAACTGAACCTGAATGTATTGCGTTTTCCCATATTATTTTTAACCATTTTTCTTCACAAATGTGTATATTTTAAAGTATTTGGATTGTTTTTTATTATTAATTTCATTATTTTACGCATTTAGGCAATGAAAAAAACAATATATTTGAAAATAATTTGTCATGTTTTAGTCACTAATATGAGAAGTTAAAATTTTGTATTTTTAACCTGTTTAGTTGTTTAGGATGCTTAGATTTACACTGATTTTTTTTTCTTAATGACAGTAGATTTTACCTGTATATGTTCTTTATTATTGTAAACAGTTTTCCTTGTTCAGCCTAGGAAGTGGTTATTTTAAAATTTCAACTTTTTTCATGCTCATGTAGGACAATTGACTTTTTTATAATCAACCAGAAAATGTATAAATTTGCATAAAAAATTTATAAACTGTTAGACCACCCCTATTTTTAAATAATAAATTATTATCACTTGGGTAAAAAAGCCTTGGAATTTAAGGCTGCCCCAATATGGTATTTTATAACAGCCGAACAACAAATCCTCAATCTTGTTAGTGCCTTCAGCAATAATTTTCCCCCTTTTTCTGTTTCAACTGGCATTATTCAGATTTTTGAAACCTTTAAAAGAATAATGTATTTTGTCATTTATAATTTATTATTCCGCACTCTGCCTACTTTGAACTTTTATGATTCTTATAAATATTCAATTCAGCAACATAAAATGTTTTTCCTAAGTTGATGAAATTTATCTTGTATGATAAAAATATATCTAACAAATCAATAAATTGACCATTTTCTCTGTATAGTTTGAACTCAACACAAATTAAGCTAGTCAATTAAGGCGGCACGATATTGCAACGTTTTTTCAGGGTTAACTGAAGTTATTATACGTTTAAAAGTTGCAAAATTTCCAATCACTTTTTAATGCAACTGCGCCCAATAGTTTGTGCACATTTACACAAAATTGAAGCATTGGACCCCTTCACACTGTCAAAATGAGATTTTAAACAATTTACTCTACTTTCCCTTTGCAATGTACAGCCTTTGTTGGATTATCTAAATGTTTATCTTATTAGCTAATTACACAACACTCCATTATACTATTTGGAATGGATTGATAAATTCTTTCTGGTTATTGAAGACTTAAAAAATATAAAATTTCCTTTGTATATTCATTGTTTTTGAAAGACTTAAAAGAAGGGGTTGGTTGTTCTCGGATTCGGAACAAATTTTTTTTTTAAGATTCTACACTCCAAGATATCAGGCACGTATTCACCACTTCTTGTGAATAGGCCCTCGTTTTGTCAAAAACATTTGAAAGTTTAAATTTTCTGTTTTTTTTGTCATATTTTTATTTCGCCTTTATATTTGCTCAAACAGCCATTTAAATATATCATTTTATAGAATTTTTTATGTAGATTGTAATAGTTTATCAATAAGTAGGTCAGAAAATGTTAGATACCATCTTTCACATAAATCTGTGTAAATTAATTTTTTTACTGTTAATTTCGATGATCTACCTGACTTGACATTCCTAGTGCAAGCTCTAACATTATTTTTCTCAAAAGCAAGCAAAAGGACTGATTTTCATGGTTGATAATTCGTTTTAAAAAATTGTCAAGTGCATTTTACAACTATATCAAACATTAAAATTAGGCTATTATTTCCATTAAAAAAGAGGTAATTTCTGACAAATAATTTTGCTATTTTGTGTATTTTCTTATAGACGTATTTTATATATTTTAATGGTACATATGTTGTTAAAAATAGTCTGTTTGGTGCTTCTACCTGTTTTTGAATTATAGCCATTTCAATCAGATATTCCAATAATGACTTCACAAAAATCGGAAAACTTTTAGGGGTCTCTAGAGGTGCTAAAAAGAAATTTCAAATTAGTTTCATGGAAAAATAATAAGACCTAGTTTACATGAAAAATATTTGGTTTTTACACATTTTTTGGTTATTGATAAACTTTCATAGCTTTTACTATATTTTTATTTCAATCTACATAAAAATGCTGTAAAATGGCATATTCACATAGTTGATTTTAGTAAATAAAAAGGCGTAATAAAAATATTAAAAAATGTAAAATTTCAATTTTGAAAAAATTGTTTAACCAAACCACCTATTTACAAGAAGAGGTGCATATGTGTTCGATATTTTGGAGCTTAGAATCACTAAAAAAACATTTAGTCCAAATCCGTGACCGACCGACCTGGTTGTCCCTTTGTTAGAAAAATTTTATATTTTCTTTCCTAGAAATTCATTATTATTTGTACAGGCTCACTATAAATAGTAATGGTGACTAATTAAATCGTCTAATCATGCAATTAATCATAGCATTGTTTATATGATGTTTTAAAACAAATTAATTTTGTTTTTAGTGTTGTCCTACTTAATGCCATTTCACTTGTTTAATTTTTATAAATTAATTAATTTTTTTTAATGAAGACTGTAAACAATTTCTATTTTATTGTATGTATTTAGTTAATTACCTATAAGAGCCAGCATTTTCATACTAATCCTTAATCTAAAAAAAAGGCTCAATTCAACAGGGCAGAAATAGTGTAGAGATTATGACTCCTCTTTAAAGTATTTGTAAACATGGCTTCTTTTTTTTCGAGGTCAGATTTGAAAGAATTCTTCTGTACTTTTCCTATTTAACCTCGATAAAATTGACCTTATTGTTTTGTTTTGATTAGATTATTATTATTATTGTTGTTAGTTGTATTGTTAATTATGAACTTTTATTTATAATCTACCTAATTAGATGTCTTCCATATGACACTTTCCACTATGTAAGTTATTGCTATTTTTTTTAACGTAATTTATTTTATTTATTGCTATCTGCTATCTATAATATACACTGGGCAAATAGTTATATACAAATCTACTGGATCTGGAGGCAGTGAGGAGAGAAACCAACAAGTGGTGGAACTCAATTTTATTTAGCTGAGTGCGTTACTATAGAAGGCCACGAGGCCATCGTTGTTTTGAACAGCTTGGGGAGGATGTTGAAGAAAAAGTTTGGGATGGTTAATTTACAGTAGAAAGTGAGGAAGCGTGTATGGATCAGATCCATCACAAATGGGATTTTATGGTCTTTAGGATAGTTTGCTTGGTGACGTAGAAGGCAACCTTGAGTATTCAGTGGAGAACTTTAGATTGAAAGAATTGAATTCATTGGATGTTTAAGGATTTGGCTGAGTCCCACAATACACTCCATAAGTCCAAATAGTTGAGTGTTTTGTAAGCAGTTAGTTTGTTATGTATGCTTAGTGTTGATATTGGTCCGAGTAGGTGTCTGAATAGTCCATATCTTTTGTTACGTTTTTGTCGTTTTAATTATGTATGTGGTTGGTTTCCATGTAAGTCTGGCATCTAAGTAAAGCCCAAGGTTGAACCGTGGTATAATCTAACATCTATAATATTCTTCAGTGGTTTAGGGCCAACGGAAGTCTCAATTAAAAGGTAGTGGTCGATTGTAATGCTCTTACCATACTATGAAATTCCAGAAAACGGATTCCAAACTGTCTAAAATGTCTAATACATTCATCAGAAGATTTCATGAGGCTAGACTAATCTCTAGCATCGGTTCTCTACTGGAGAAGTATCAAGTAGATAGCTGAATATTTGTAATTCAGCATCTTGCTTGCCCACTTGAAAAATGGGGGCTGTTCTCTTCAAAGATAGTGTGTTTGATTTGTGATAATTACATAACTGGGACCATGTATGGAGATCACTAACTTCATGGGCCATGCATGAGTCTCAGTTTTTTCAAGATAGTTGTGGGGTGGAATCGACATCCATGCCTGGATTATCGAACTGATTATCATACAGAATGGGCCATTGACTGCTCTGAGGCATATCGGAGAAGTTCTTCTGGATTTTCTCCATTTATTAGGACCAACATTGTGTTAATGCAAGATAATGCTTGACCACGTATAGTTCGCGTTGTCACCCGTTACTTGGAGGATGTAAGCATATCAAAATGAGTTGGCCAGGATGTTCTCCATAGAACACATATGGGAAATTCGATCACTTATTTACTCGATGCCTAGGAGACTCAAGCCCTTCTGCGAGGCCAGAGGTGGAAATACATGTTATTAAGAGCAAAACTAGGTAATAAATTGTTAGTTAAATTTTAATCTATCACTAAATGATTTTCTTATGGTGTTTTCGTGAATTTTCTTTCAACCATCATAATTAAATAATTTTTATTGAAACTCATGAATTTCTGATCCGTTTAATTTAGTTTACATGACAATGTTGTTATTAATATAACAATAAAAATACAGTTTCAAATGAAAAACAATTTTTTTTTAAAATTTTTGAATATATATCAAAGCTGCACATTGTATTTTTTTTTTCAAGGCTTTTTATTTGTTTTAGTTTATCCTTTAGCAAACATTAGTTTCTTGTTGCTTTCTAAGTAGTACTGATTGTGTTTTTAATTAAACATTTATCTCTGTTTTTAGATAAAGAAGTTTTGAGGCTGAAGCTCCACCCACCCTCACATCACTGGAGTATTCAAGGTAATTTGTCCAAAAATTCTTCACATTTATTAAATACAACTGGTAAACTTTTTACAAAAAAAGTTTGTCAAAAAAAAAAAAAAGTTCTTCAAAACTGACTTTGGCTCTTACATGTTTGCAATCATGCTCTGCCTGAGGCTCAGCGTCCTCCAATCGTCTCCTGAAGACATCGTCAAGGAGAAGTCTGCCCTTTGTACACTTTTTGTTAAGCAGTGTGACTGAGCCGAAATGAGATGCTTGTCTATTTTTAATCTGTAGTCGGTCAAGGGAGGGATGGAAATGGGAGTGTCAGAGGGGGTGAATTGAGAGAATACAAGCCACGTATTTTATTTTCGCTCTGCCCTATCTTAATGCGTGAAGTATAGCAGCTCAACAAGCTCCCTTAAGTCTGTTAAAAAAAAACCTTTGGCAACATATCGCAACAAATTCATTCAAAAAACAAACCGTAAGTAATGCTAGACTTGTATGATTTTTGGCTGTGGGTTATATTTGATGTGGATTATGCCTAGTTTAATTTATGATGGCATCATGGCCAGATTTTTTTTTAGGATCCTTTGTAAAAAATTTAAATGGATAAACTGACAGGTAGTTTGTTCTAAAAAATTTAATTGTTAACAAAGCTAAAAATTTAAATGCAAGAAGGAAAACAAGAACTCATCCTTTCTAATGAGTTTTAAATTTGTGCAGTTCAAAATTATACCAAAATATTATAAAGAAAGACAAATAATACTTAAACTTGCACTCTCCACTCAGGCATTATCAAAAATAAATAGTAATCAGAACAAAACTCTTTTCCATTAAACATAAACACATGTCACAAATGAAAATATATAATTTTTTTTTAAATAATTTATTTAATGAATGATACTTTTGCTTGAATTTATGAACTTTATAAAAATACTCAAATATCTGTAAAGCCTGATGTTTGATCATTACTGATCTAAGCCTGTCGGGTTGTCGGTGAACCTAGAGATGATGGGTAATGATCAAACAACTATGACCAGTTCAGCCATCACATCCATCAAAAATTGACCATTCTGAAAATGTTCATATAAAAACAAAAAAATTTTGATTTGTGATTTTTTAATTTTTTCCAAGTGGTTTTATAAATAAACAATAAAATATATAAAAAAATGTAGCAAATAAAAAAAATATATATTTTAATTTTTAATTATATAAAGCTTTATTCAAATTTTCTTTTTTTCATGTGGCTTGTCAATGCAAAATGCAACTTAATATGGCAAGCAATTATCAAATAAAATTCAACTTGGCCTCTATTTTTGAATTTAGTGTTTTTAAATTACATTTATACTCTCCCAATATTCAACTCATTCAATCATGCCTAGTCTAAACTGCCATTGTTTAGTAATATTTAAAAAATAAACATACAAAAAGACTAGAAAATGAGAAAGAGTGTGAGGGAGACAGTGGGAGGGAGAAAGGATAGAGTAAGAGTGAAAGTATGTGGATGAGATATGAGGTAAATTTTTATTTCCCTGGTTGAGAAAGTGGGGACTTTTATTGATTGTTTTTCATCTGGTGAATTCATCCAGTTTTTCCATTCTTGTCTGTTTATTCANTTTATTCAAATTAAATATAACTTTTTTTTCATGTGGCTTGTCAATGCAAAATGCAACTTAATATGGCAAACAATTATCAAATAAAATTCAACTTGGCCTCCATTTTTGAATGTAGTGTTTTTAAATTACATTTGTACTCTCCCAATATTCAACTCATTCAATCATGCCTAGTCTAAACCGCCATTGTTTAATAATATTTAAAAAATAAATATACAAAAAGACAAGAAAATGAGAAAGAGTAGGAGGGAGAAAGAGTAGAGTAAGAGTGAAAGTATGTGGATGTATGAGGTAGATTTTTATTTCCCTGGTTGAGAAATTGGGGACTTTCATTGATTGTTTTTCATCTGGTGAATTCATCCAGTTTTTCCATTCTTGTCTGTTTATTCAGTTCTGATTTTAGTATATGATGTGTTGATTTTTCTTGTTGATAGGTTGTGAGGGCTACTCCTGAGAAAGTTAATTGTTTACTTTTTTAATGAAGGTGCTTTTAGGATGAGCTTCTTTCTCTTTATTTCTTTTATTACAGTTCAAACGGATCAAATGACCCAAAACTGATTGTTCAGGAATATAAAAACATACATAAAAAGTCAGAATATAAAATGTTAACATTAGATAATAATAGATTACAACTCAAACTAGATGACAATAAAAATTGTGTCCAAGAAAAAAAAAAATCAAAAACAAATACAAAAATAAATAAATAAAAATGACTCTCTGAATCACTCTTTTAATATTAGTAAAATCTTCTATTTGAACATGGCCAGGAGTCAGAGAAAAGGTCCACGATCTTCATATTTATAAATGTGCCAAACTATCCAAGAAAGACAAGATTCCGACCCATAATTTGTCCTATGTTGAGGAACATAGACTAGCTCACAGGAGCAGACGGCCCTGCTAGACTCTAATACCAATGCAAGGAAAGATTTCCAAGGAATCAATCCTATTGTTAAGAACCATCTGTAAGAACAAGGTCGAAGCTGAAATTTTTATGTTTTCCAAAGAGTCCATTCCGACCAAATTCAGTCTTTCTGTATAAGGGAGCTCACTATGCTATACAATGAAAATGTATTTGTTTTGAACAGCAAATATTTAAATATGTTCCTTTGTGCCCTCGCAATCATGAGTGATCCACTGTTTGATCCAGGCAACCAAACAATACTAGCATATTATATGGACTAATATGGTTTTATAGAGAACCTATTATTAGTATGCAAAGGGGCAGATGGAATATTGAAGATGGGTGGCCCAGATATTGAGAAAGTATAAGACATTAAAAACAGAAATCAAAAGGACTGCCAAGAGTTCAAACAAATAAATGCATAAGAAGAAAACGTTATTCGAGAGCTGGATTAGACCTAGTACAGTTTTAGTACATTGGAGTACATTTTGAACTGTATGTCACCCAGCAGACCACACAAAAAAATGACAATTTTATAGTTTATGTTTTTGAGGCATGGCAGGAAAATTTAAACCACCCTGAGGAGCCATTTTCCCACTATAATAACGTTATGTGAGTGACTAATAAATTCTGATGTGGTGGGAATGTGAAATTTGTTTGTAGAAGTCCCTATGAGCTAAGAGTGGACAAGAATTCTTTATTTTGTGCGTTTCAAGCTCATTGGCCCATCATAAGCAGAATGGGTCATTCCTCCAATCTGAGTCTTCTTAATGGATGATTTGTCATATACTACAACTATGGCCATGATATAAATGAGATTCTTTATTTTGTATGTTTTGATCTCAGTGGCCCATCCTGAGCAGATTGGGTCATTCCTCGAATCCTCCAATCTGAGTTTTCGTAACAGATGATTTGACATATACTACAACTACGATATAAATGACTTAGTAGTATATAAAGTATATAAGAAGGTGCTTGGTTTTCCTATGGTGTGTCGAAAAATGTACCACGTTGTATATTTTTAAGTATGTGATGATATACCATTTAGTTTGAATATATTAGTCTTTTTTATACATGTATATATTTATGTTTTTGTGTTGAATATATCTTTTTGTAATTCTGTAATATTAATTTAACTTTTTATTTTGTAAGTTAGCTTGAATTTTCGGTATTTATATGTTTTTACAAATAAAAATCATGTTTGAAAAAGATTTGTGGGGAAAATTGTTAAGTTCTTGCTAACGTTGGCATGGTCTTTGTTAAATTCGAAGGTGATGAAACCTTCCCGCTGGTTATCCTGATTATGTTTGGTCTGTGTTATTGTTGTTGACGGTTGGGTCTTCGTCTGGTGACTTCAACGTCGAATTTCCCCTCGAATCCACCAGTTATGCCCGTTGAGGTTTGAAAGGATGGAAGTGAACATACCCGAGAAGGTGCTCAAGTACGAGACCTTCCTCAACGACGTCTTAAAAGAGGAGCTGAAAAAGATCCACACCAGGTTGGACGTTCTGCAGACCGAGGCTGCCGACCTGGTCCAGCTAAAGTGCTACATCGAGACGCTCAAAGACGCCGAGCTGACGGAAGAGCCGCTCAAGAGCCAGGTGGACATCGGATGCGGTTTCTTCCTCCAGGCAAACATAGATGACCCAAAGAAAATCCTGGTCGAACTCGGCTGCGGATACTACGTCGAGTTCAGTCTCGACGAGGCGTTGGTGAACATTCGCAGCAGACTCGACTTGCTCGACAAGCAGACCCAAGTGTACAGGGGCCAGAGTGCCAACACCAAGGCGCACATTAAAATGGTTCTCCTTGGTTTAATGGAGCTACAGAATCTAAAATGATGTCTTTCTTTTTTGTTGTTATTAAATAAATTTCTTTATTAAATATTTGTTTAGTATATTCCATGTCCTCCAAGAAAGGCATTTTTAAAATTTATTTTGTTCATTATTATTATTTTTTTTTTCTGTATAGGGCCTGCAAGGCAATGAAACTGATATTTGGCTGTTTCTGATAATTTTGGTCATATTTTAATTGTGACTTTTGGTAATCTCACCATCATCAGGGTGAGTTTAACATCTTGTCTATCCTCGCTGTACATCTAAAACCACCCAAGAGCAAAAATTGCCTGGGGGAGGGCAAATGCTCTGCGCCAAAAATTGGGGGTTAAACTCCAAAATGGCCCTATGCATCTTAAGACAATGCCGACATGGGTTGGTGATGTGGTGGACCAAGACTGCAGGCCAAAGCAATTATGCCATTAAGTGGTACCCAAAGGCAGGCTTGTCTCAATGTAACTGGAGCTACAAACATGATGCCAACTGCGGCCTTGGAGGTGTTAATCCTCACCCCTTCATATTTTAATCCAAAAAGCCAGAGCAGCAGCCTACAGGATCTTAAATGGATAACCAACTGCAACAATAGGCCAAGTAAATAAACAATGGAAATTAAGGCAGGAGATAAAGGTAGATGCCATATTAGGCATGCCAATCGATTACTCCAAAATACAACTTTATTAAAAAGTACAAGGTGCTGTTAGCAGAACAGGAAGAATTCTTATTGGTACACTGATGGCACTAGCGGTTTTTTTAGTTATTCATATGCATTTCGTCATTGCATCATCTTCAGTGAGGAATTCATATATACTATATAAACCCTAATTAGACAAAGTGACAGACAGTTCCTCACTGAAAATGTCGCAATGCCAAAACGCATTTGAATAACTTCAAAAAAGTGGAGACAGACCCAGTAAAAGACCATGTGCTGGTTCAACATGAGTTCAGCGACTCGCAGGCCAAAAGCCATCATCACCTCTAAGGCCACATTGGTCCTTATAGAAATTATATCTTCATCCAGGTTGAAGCAAGAGGCAATTCATAGCCTGATGCAGGGACAGCCTCCAATAGGCTAGGTTTTGAATAAAAAGGGGCAATTTAAACTTTGGAAATTTCAGGCAGACAAGGTTCTGGAGATGCCTTTTAACGTCTTGATCCCAAAATTCAATTAGAGGAGTGTGGAGTATATCTGGTATACAGATGACTTTATGAATGAATATGGGTCAGGAGTTGATATATATGGAATGAATTCAGGTGGAGACAGTGGCTGTTGAACACTATGCCAGGGATATCTAAAGGCAACTACCTCGGTAGTAAGGTTTAGAGCTGTTGGGTACAACAAAATTACCCTTGTTTGGATTTCAGGGAGAGGATCGGATCAATGAGGAGGCTGTTAAATTTGCCATGTTAAAGTACAATGATGTTACCTACTGGCCCTGAAACCTTTTGTCCCATACCAAGTAGTCAAACAATGTACCAGACTATGAATTTTAACCCAGACAATGGGTTCAGATTACGTCCTTGGTTCAATGGGATTGTATTGCAGGACAGAAATATGCTGCAAAGTTGATCAAAGGACCATCGTAGAAACTAATGGCAGACATATCGCACACCTGCAAGAAAAGTGACACAAGTCTGAAAATTATAAAAACGGAATTATTTAATTTTTTTGAACTATTCGGGTATGTGATGCTACAGAAAAAATAATACAACTGTAGGTGGACTCTTAGCTGCTAGGCAGCACTATGTCACTTTTGAATTGGTGGAACGTACTGTCACCATTCATGATAAGTGGTATTTCTTTGTTCTGTGTCGAGCTTTTATCAGTATTTGTGAGTATTTATCAGGAAAAGAGGCACATTTTGAGTTGTCAGTTTTTTTCTTGTTGCGGAGGATTTTATGCTGCACCGGAGTCACATTTTCACATTATGAAAAACAATTGTTACATCAACACAAATATGTTTTTCATAATTTAGCATTAATATAGCCCCTGATGATGACCTTAGAATAGGTCAAAGTTTGGCAGGAACAACTGAATTTGCTTGTTTCTTCAAGAACATACCTTGATCTGAAGGATTCGTGAATTATTTTAGTTTCATTTCTTTTATTTTATTAACATTCTTAACTGTAATATTGGGGACTGCGGTAGCCGAGGGTTAGCATGAGACTCTCACGCCGCGGTCGTGGGTTCGATTCCCACCGTCGCCTCTGGCCCTTTTTTCCCAATAACCCCCAATTTGAACACACAAGAATTCGTACTATGGCTAATATGCAAGATCATAAGGCCAAAATGAAAAAAACAAAAAAAAACATTGTTTTTCAAAATTTTTTAACAATGTCTTTTAATTTTTACATTGTTTTATAGCTTGAACAATTTTTTTAATGTTTTAATTACATTATTTGTAATCAATAAAACCTTTATTTCAATAATTTTTTTTTAAATAACTAATTAGCCTTGAATCCAGGAGGAAAGCCCATTTGAGTCAAAAATAATCTTAATAAAACTTACTACTTGGATATTTATGCTCGTTTGTTAGGTTTTTATGTTGTCTGTTACTATCATAAAAAAAATCATATTCATTGACTACCATTATCATTAGAGTAAATAAACTAACTTATATTACTGGCAGTCAATATATGCAAGAAAACTGTTACAACTCAAAAAGGGGTAGTTTTTAGGGATAATACAGCTGGGTTTTTAAAGTTTTGTGTTTTCGCTTAAGTCTTGGAGCAGCAGGACCAATCCCGTGCCGTTCTTGCCAGGAAGAGTAAAAATATTGGTCTGAAGGCATTGCAGGCTGAGATTCCTTCTGCTGAGATAGGAAAATCTTAGGACTGAAGAATATATTCAGGAGCCCTTAACAAAACTTTGGGATCTGGTAAAAAGCTGAAAGCTTAATGAAGAGCTCTTGGTATAATGGAGATTGTCCAATAACCAATATTGGTCGTGGAAGGTTGAAAAGAGGTCCTTTTAACTTTAGCCTTAGCTTATTGATATTAAAGATGTATAAAAAGATTCATGTTTCTGGTAATAAGACGCACAGTTGACGAACTTTATTTTATACGGCCACTCACTTCAACTATTTTTTCTTATTTGATTTCCCTTTTTTCCCTTTCTTACTTCCCTTACCTTTCGACTTCCCTTTGCCTTTTTTGCCCTTTTTGCCCTTTGTACCTTTTTTATTCTTTTTGCCTTTTTTGCTCTGTTTGCCTTTTTTGGATTTTTTCTGCTTCTTCAAGCTGAGTTTCGGAGTCGGGGGGATCTTGCGTTCGGATCTCGGAAGCGGGCCGCAGGGCAACGTGAGCGAATCTGTCGTGTCGATACTCATGTGCAAGTCGGGATCCGAGTCTATGGTGCAAGGGCATAGCGTATCAGGACTGCAGGGGACCTGCTTCAAGTCGTTCTGCAAGATATCCGATTCGAACATCAGCCGAAGCAGGGCCCAGTTCGTTATCTCGCCAAGGCATAGCTTCGGTGCTTGTTTCCACTTAATCAACTTTGGGATATTGTAGACTCTGAAATGCTTGTCAGTGCCAAAAGGTCTTCCTGGGCCGAATCTGTATATTTAGAAACAAAACAAAAGATTAATTATTATAAACTGTCGTGCTGATAATAAAAACTTACTGATCATTGTTTAGACGAACTTTAATCAAAATAATTTCTTCTTTCAGTGCAACTTTCGAAAGAAACAAATTCAATTTTTTTTCCGCTGAAAAATAAAAGTGCATAATTTTGTTTATAATAGCAGAACAATGAACATATAATTTCATATTTTTAGCATAAATTAATTTCTGAAATGTATATATTATACAAAGGAATATTATTAAAAGTTTATCTTAAGAGGTTTTTTGTGAATTCTTTGAGTTTAACATTCACTTTATTCCCACAAAATCTTCGGGTTTAATGCCTTAACGAATTGGTAAAAACATTGTTCAGCAGTTTAATCATCCCAGTCTGCCTATTCATTCTATAAGTTTTTACCGGGCACAAAAAAGTGAAGAGATCAGAGATGATCAAACTGCCAACAAAGTGTCCTGTCAATTGTGATCATTATGATTTATCAATTAATTAAGGTTTTCAGTTGGGATAAAAAAAGTCAATGGCACAAGTGGGATTCGAACCCACGACCTTTAGCTTGATATGCCGCTGCTCTACCACTCGTAGATCGTCGAAGAGGGTTCGAATCCCGCTCATGCTTTTGACTTTTTTATCCCAACTGAAAACCTTAATTAATTGTAAGATGTTGATTGGCCAAGCGGACCACGAAACCAGGGAATTATGATTTAAGTGATCAAATGTTTTCCAAGACAAATGACAAAAAACTTTCTGACATGTTACTGAGCAATTGCATGTTTCGTTTGTGTATTCAAGTTGAATTTTCACTATTAATATCTCATGGGAGCGCACTTTGTACAATTTTTTTAATTTTTTGTTTATACATTAACAATCTTCTTTGTTTTGAATATCAGTCTTAAGAAACACTCTTTATCACTAGGTATAAAGTATCTTGCCTCTGGTCATCAAGTCGTTATTTTTTTTCCCGGTGAAAAAGATGTAAGTAGAGGCTGAAGGGATGTCTCGATCTGTGAGTTCTTTGATCATTTCCTTGTTCGAAGCAGGCTGTGTCAAAAGGGTGAGGAGCTCATCCTTGTTGGAGATCTCAAGAAGCTTTACCTTTGTCGATGTCATCTCTTGCCCTGGGTAAACTTGCCTTGTTCAACTGGTTTTGTCGCCTGAGCTTACATGTTTCAATTTTGGATTTACATGTTTTTTAAAATTGTTTGTCAGGGCTCGCTTGCCCTTGAAGTGTGCTATAAAACATATGACCCATCACATGTTTGTGGATGCAACATATTGCAATTTTGTTTATTATGTTCCACTATTTTTTGGTTCAGGGAGAAAGATTTCATTTGATTCATCCTGTAAATAAATGTTTACGTTTATTTCCTAGTCTTTTTTAAATTTATTTAATTACTTTTTAATTGATTATTCTATAACATTAATTTTTGTTCTTTTTTTTGTTTTCAGAAGAAAGGTGGCAAAGTATGAAAAATGAGCAAAACTCTCCAAGAAGAAATAGTCTGAAGAAATAAAACAGACAAGTTTTATTTAATGTAGTTTAATTATTATATCTAAAAAAAAACTTGTGGGACATTAACAGTCATGCAATGGAATGTTCCTACTTAGTCCAAAACCCAGCGGTTATGAAAGGAGATGAAGCGACATGCGTCTTTCCTGAATGTTTTGTCGAGACGGTAATGGACGAGGATAAGGACGAGCCAGAGGCCTCTTGTTCGATAACTCCTTTGAGGTCTTATTTGCCTCCACCTGAAAACGACTGTAATGAACAATGTAGCATCACAAAACTCAAGACGCCGCAAGTCGTCCGGCCATTTTTCTCAAGAATCGTATTGACTGAGAACGAAGACGATTTGTCCCCCAAGCACGAGCTTCCCAGGGAAAAGCCGCAGATAGAAGATATACTCCCGAATAATAAAAGTCTAAAGCAGCTTTTCCAAGATGTCTACTATAAGAATATTTCTAAAGACCCGTTTTTAAAAGGGCTGTGTAAAGAAGAGACGATTAACAATGAGTTTCCGTTCAAGTCTAAAACACTCAGTGACTATTTACAGAATAATACAAAGCTGAATGTGAGCTTCGACATACCTATGTTGTACGCTTATGAAAAGTCTCCACCTCGACCTGCTGTCAAAGCCAGTATACAAACCTTTATCAATAACGGACCTGTTAGCAGTGAAAGGATAGCAGCACCCAGCACGTCTATATCTGTAGAAAAAGAATATGATAAAAAACCGTTTGGGACTATTAAAAAATTGCGTATCCCATTTCATATAAAACGTAAGACTGAGTTTGAAGGAAAACAAAAAGAAAGTCGAAATAACGTTGAATATAAAAGGTTCAACAAAACCCAGCCCAAGTCCTCGGATTCCCAGCTCAACAAATATTCCAATAAAACTATTAAATCTGAGACTGTGTTAAGTGATGACGACAGGTTATTAATGCAAAAATATAATTTATTACAAATACCTTTCATTTATAAATGCAATAGAAAAAATGGTAAAAAATGTAATGAAAATCCGAAAAAATTTAGACTCAGTTTAGTTTTAAACATAGGTTATAAAAGACCTCTTCTGGACGAATTAGAAGCAAATTTTATTTTAAAGCCAGAAGAGACCATTGTTAGTCCATTATCGGCAGTGATCGCTGCATCAGCAGTCACTAAACCTTTTACTAAGAAAACATTAACTCGTGTTGTGGTTCCCGTTCTACCAGGATCTGAAATTTATTCAAAATCCAGTCAAGCTTTAAAATTGTTCAATGTCCTTTCATATGATTGCAAAGAGATCAATGAAAATGTTGCAAGGACTGTTAGTGATTTAGTAGATTTTGTCGTCAGACAAGACGATTTCCTTCCAATCGAGTATGACACCGATGTCCCGCATTTTGAAGACGCTGTCAAGGAAGATATCGAAGAGACTGATGCTGACAATTATGTCTGTAATAAAGAATTTTGTGTTAAAGGGTGTGTATGTGATAGCTTAAAAGGTAAAGTTGATATCAAACACTGCGATAATATTGATTGTGTGTTTGGTTGCATGTGCAATGAATTGCGTAGAAGGACTCTCAGAAATGCTCAACTTAATGATTTCAAAGACAAGGTGAGTGAAGAGATGGTGAATGGAAAAGTCAGGCGTGGTTCCAAGACCCCTCAACGATACCGCGATTATGTTAGAAACTTTAGCCTTGTGAATATGAAATCGTTGGACGATAAGAAAAGCTCTAACGACCCTGACTACAAAGTGTCGATCCCTTCGCTGAAAAAGTTCAAAATGGAAATGCCGGAGAAAAACCGCGCTCCTAAACTCTTAGGCGACAGCGAGGTCCCTGGAATGGAGTGGCAGCTTTTCAAACCGGTCAAAGAACAGATAGAAGATCGTAGGTTTAAATTTTGCTCAGGCAAAATCAAAGAGAGACAGACTTTGGGGGACATTTTCATCTGGTGTACTTTGCATTCAAAATACAACTGCCTTTGTCCAAACCCTGTAGCCATGTTTAAACATAATATTATGATATGGAAACCTACATCGGAAGTAAGATATTTAGCTAATAAAGTTATGTTCAAAATAATGCTAGACTCTAATTCTGGATTTGACAAAGAGGTGGTCCCTTTCGATTTACAAAACAACTGCTCTAGGACTTTCAAAGGCACCATTATCGATTTTAGTGCTAGAAATAGTGATTTAATATTTAAAAAGAAAAGACAGTATGAATTGAAGCACAATATCTTGTGTTATAGCAATAGTTATGTTAAATGCAAGCCTTATCTCATGCTTGACAAAGGTTTGACCGTTCCACCGTTGCCGTGTGAAGATAGCGCACTGAAACCCAATAATATGCAAATTATAAATTTTCATTCAAAACGTACTGATGAAGAGATAGATTTTGTAGATGTCGAAGAAATCTCCAAGGAAATTGTGGACGACATAGATGATGAACCCGAAATAACAATATTCGAGGAGAAAGAAGATGTTATAGACTTGACAGAAGAAAATGATATTAATGAAACTCCTAGTGAACCGGTAGCAGATGACGTCAAAGAGAAACTGCTCACAAAAGAATCTTTTGAGGAACCTGAAAATATGCCTTCGGCAAGGCGGTCTTTACCGAGTCACGGCTTCCTCTGTCTGACGCCTGGAATCGGCTTTTTAGAGGTTGACAACAGTAACAACAAAATAACAATACAACACCCAAAAACGCTAGCCTCTTGCAAGACTTTTAATAGCATCGAGGAAGCCAATGATTGGATAAATGTATTGTTTAAGAGCCATTTTAGTTTTGAGCCGCCCTCGTTCAACCTTCAATGGGTGGTCGTTACGCAGGGCGTACTAAAACTCAAAAAGAGCAAGCCATTCCAGACAGATCTTTTCAACAATCCTTCTGTCGTTATAACTAAAAACGGGCCTGTTATCCAGAAAGGAGCTAAAAGAAAACAAGAAGAACTTGACTAATCTGGTTTGTAATAACTTTTTTCTTTCTTAGAGGAGACTGTTTTTTATTGTTAATTTATAAGTTTTATGTATTTATAAACTTTTTTCTTTTAGTTTTAGTGCCAAAAATTGTTAATTTTTGACATATTGATTTATCTTTTTATTTATATTTTAATTTTATTATTTTTAACATATCCATTTTGTGTATTATCTGGTCCTTCGAGGTTTCATGGAAAAACAACATGCTTCCACTTTTTAGCTAAATTTTTTAGTTTGAACTAGAATAATTGAAAAGTAATACTTGTAGATTTTTTTTTGAAACCTTACAGGATGTAAACAACACAAAATTTGACTGTCATGATTATTTCTTGATCTAAAACCTTTTTCCTTGAGGTGGAGTAGATAAATCTCAAATTCATGTTTACAATTTTTCCCCTTGAATCATTTAAAACTAATTAGCTCAGTCAAAATAAATAATTTTGAACTGTATTTTATGTAATATATTATTGCCATAATTTAATAATTGTACCATTATCATCATGGTATTACCCAAGAGAAGAATATCACATATAAAAAAAAAAGAAAGTATCACATTCTGTAAATACAATAAGAACAATTGTACGTTGTCTTGAAAATAATTAATGTTATAGTTATGTCTGTGATAAAATAATTTTGTACATAGTATTTTTATAATAATATGTTATTTTAAGTGAAGAAAATCATGTTCTTTACTGAAGGTCTATAATCACAACCAAGTATGAAGCTTAAACGTTCCTTTCTTTATTGATGTATCAATGTTACCTTTGTATACATACTTCAATAAATATTTAAAAATACCCAATACCTTCGATTTTTAAAGTTCCTCGCCCTTCAACAAATAAATTATTTGACAAAATCTACTGTCTAAAAATATACATTTTTCTCTTTTTTTCTTTTTTTTTTTTAATTGAGGGATTTATACAATAGTAAGCTATTCCATCTAGATTGAAAATTAAGTCTTTGATCAGAAAAATGTTGTAGAAAAAACAGAAGAAAAAAAAACAAGTTTTCAAGCTGCTTAAATACAATAGAATTTACACAGCTTTTATTTTTTGTGTAATATGATTTATTTAATTGTTATTGACAACAATCTTCATTAAAAGTATAGTTTGAAATGCCTAAAGTATACTCTATGTATACATCATAAAAACTATAAAAGATTATAAAAGAATATTCGTTTTTGTGATATTGGAAAATAATTTTTAAAATTTTCCATATATTTATTAAATACAACTATAAAATTTTATAAAATTTTGTGTGATGTAGGTTTAAAAAAAACATTTTCTTTATTGTACCAATGTTTTGATCTTTATTTAGATCATCTTCAGGGCTCAAAGTGTGTGTTTTGAATACTCAACACGACAGACAAGAATGGCACATCTACACACAAAACACATACTTTGTTCCCTGAAGATGATCTAAATAAAGATCGAAACCTTGGCACAATAAAGAAAATGTTTTTTAAACCTACATCATTCAAAACCACATTTCACGATCTCCAAATAATCATTAATGGTCACTAAATAATACACATATTTATTATAATTGATGTATAATAGTTAAAAAGAAGAAAAAAAGCTGCACAATACAATACAATTACAATATAATTATACTATTAAATCATATTACACAAAAAATAAAAGTTGTGTAATTTCTATTGTATTTCACCAGCTTGAAAACTTGTTTGTTTTTTTCTGTTTTTTCTCTTAATTTTTGGCATCAACATACACATTCAACTTGTAATTTTCTCATAGTGAACTTTTTTAATTTTGAAGTCGGCGATGACCCTCAAATTTTACTGTTGATTGCTGATTTATACGAGCTCAAAGTTACATGTGTATACATACGTGTACAGAGTTGAGCCTATAACTTCTTGCAGTACACAAGTAATTCCAGCTTTTCTATTTTACACTAAACTACTGGCAGGGCTCAAGATTGACCCATCCTGGGTGATGGCGGTATGGAATCAATAATCGGTCTTATTTGTCCAGCCACTGAGGTTGGGCTGCGGGTGCTGTCAACAGCTAGGACATTTTAGTGCCCAACACCCATCACTTCTTAAATCCATTCATGCTCTCACTCATTCTTAAATATGTTCTTTCCTATTTACATACCATTGACTCAATTTAGTGGAGTACTCAATATTCCTCCATCACCTTTTACACCTATTAACTAACCTAACAGGGTTGAAGGGCGCACTCAATATTCCGCTCTTGACCTGCTCACACTTCACATTCATGTTAATAAATACATTCACCCTCAACACACACTATGGACACAAAACAATCATTATTAGATACAATAAAACAATATCGTTTCATCCAAAAATGGAACAGGGGACCCACATACTCTCTACCTTGCTCAAGCATACTTCTCATATCGGGTGGCATTCCTACGTGATCGCTATATGGAGCTGAGTCGAGGTACTCAATATTCTGCCCTCAACCCGCTCACACTACTCAATCATGCTAATAAATACATTCACTGTCAACACATGCTAGGGACACAAAGCTATCATTACTAGATCCAATAAAAGAACCCTGTTTCCTACAAGAACCTGAACAAGGGACCCCAGATACTGCCATGTTCAAGCACAATTCTTATATCCGATGATATTCATGCGTGCCCTCAGTATGCAGCCAAGGAATTGCACATGCTGAACACACCTCTAGTTTTAGCATGATCATCCTGTTCCGTCTACTGCTCAATTTTCCGTCTTTATCTGTATCATTTTGTCAGTTGTGTCTCTTTTAAGTACTGGCATGTGAAAATAACAATACTGATGCATAACATGCAAACACTGAAGATAAATGAAGTGCCAAAAACTGGGCTGTGCTTTTTGTTATAACATTTTGAAATTTAAAAAAAAAAAAAATTGACGATAAAAAAAATCTAAACAACGAGGTATATCTGGAACAATTTCCCAATCTAATCTGTCCGTAAAAGAGTTTCTTATCTCTTTAAATTAGGAAGAAAAAATATAATTAGCAGTCACTTGGACAGTTTTAAAATTAAGTTGTTCAAATTCTTAATAAAATTTATACAAACATGTATAACACTTCAAATGATTATGAAATTTCTGTTTTATTTAAATTAGATATGGAATTATTTTGATTTTAAGAAAAATGTTTGCTTGTCTGCCTATGATAAAATTTCACGATATAAACACGTTGGCAGTTTTGTTTTGAGACATTTCAGTCTGTTTTTAATGTTGGCAAGCCACGAATAAAGAGTAATATTTTCTATGCGTAATTTGCAAGTCGTAAACTTTTGGAGGATGACACAAAAATACCAGGATCCAGGCAGAAGGGTTACTCTTATTACGATGGCCGATGGTCATAAAATATACATAAAATTTTAATTTACCGACCATTGTTAAACAATTTTTTCATTTTTCTAAAGTCTGTTTCTAGAATCTGTCGTACCCTTTTATAAAAATAAATCCGTCAGGAAAAAATTACGTCATCACAGTTATCTCCCATAATAATCGAAACCGAGCAGCTTTTTCGATTATTTTGAAAAATGAATAACCGAATTTTAACTTCGTCAAATTTGTTTCTTGAATTTTAACAGATTCTGTTAATAACACTCTGCTGCCGCTTGAGCCCGGTCGCAAATAAGGAGAAATAAGTCTAACTATTTGATAGGAAGTCTTCTCGTTCCGAAAGTTTGAAAATTGACCGTTGGACCTCCATTTTCTTTCGAATATTGGCCAATCTTCTGGCTCCTGAAGTTAGGTCTGTTTAAGTTCTTAAATTTATTTAATCACAGAAGAATAGCTTAGTTTTTTCTTTTCAGCCCGTATCAAGTGGTGCGAACTTTTATACCATTGGCGAAGAATGGAAGTGCCGAAGTTGAGTCCGGACGCCAGTCTTGGTATGATGGAGTTGGATGTGCCAATTGATGTAGACGATGTACGGCATTTTTTTTTATTTTCATTTCTTTTAAACCAACAAAATTAAATTTAAATCATAAAACGATGTGACAATACAAAAAGAGTTCGTATTTTTAGGCTGTTATGCAATATGCCTAGATTTATAGTTTATTTTTGTTAGTCTTAAGTTGAAATTTTAACAAAAGTCTAAAGTAGATAGTAAACAGAATAACAATAAAAAAGTAAATCTATTAAAAAAAAGAAAGTATAAGCTAAAGGACCAAAATTTATGAAATTGGAAAAAAAAAGTGACTTTATCAGTCTATTGACTTTAACCCTTAAGTCTGTGCAGCAACAGAGGCCCAGTCACACGAACCGCAGAGGTGGGGAAAGGACTTCACCTCACAGATCTCTTACAACTTTCTTTTGAACATTTCAATGCGCATAGGGCTTTATCACGGGGGGGGGGAGTGTGTCTAGGAATCATCTCACTTTGATCTCAGTCTGTGGAGACATCCCTCAGTCCAGGACTGTGCCAGGCCCCACCACACCGTGTACATAGGGCAACAGAAGAGAAAACGAGGATTGAGGGGATGGTTACATTTTTTTCTATAAGTTGAATATCTGCTAAGAAGTTGAACCTCATTGTTCTTAGTGAATAGTTTAGTTTTGCTATTCATAACCGTTTTTGCTGATTTTGGAATAGTCTGATGATTGCTTGTTTTTGTGATTGTCGAGATCGAATTGAACTTCTTTAATGAAAATTGGTCATAGATTATGCATAAGTCTGTTGATTTTTCCTGATAATTTATTAGTATTTTAAATTTACAAATCTATTCAATTCATGTCATTACTATACTCTTTAAACTTTTGGTTTTGTTTTAGGATGTTAAATTATTGAATCCAAATGAATCACCATTAAAAATATTGAGTGAGCTTTTTAGAGGAGAAGGACCGATATATAAATTTTCTTCTTTTGACAAATATGGAATGAAAGTATTTGTATGCACTGTTACTGTTCGAAACAAAGTCACTGGTTTGATTTTTATTTTATTTTATTTTTTTAAAGTAATCGGTCTGTTTTGCCTTTGATTTGCCATGTTGTTTCAGGAGTTGGCAAATACTACAATAAAAAAATTGCAAAGTACCATGCTGCTGTGAACGCGTTGAAGAAGCTAGGCTTCAAAGTAGATTTTGACATCAACGTCGAGCCCGATCAAATGGCTATAGATGATGTACCGAAGCATGAGCCCACTGCCAAAAATCAAATCGCGTGCTATAAAGATATTGATTGTGATGTAAAAAACCTTGTCCCAATCAAAATGGAGCCTCTTGATGATCTAACAGAAAGCGATGAATTGTTTAAATCTTGTAAAAAGGCCAGGTTTGAATTGAGGAACATCGACGATATTGGACAGCCATTGATGAAGCGCATTGAGAATAGAACAAACAACTTGGCATTTTTGTGGTATGACTACGAGATATTTGACAAAAGGTAGTGTAGATTTTTTACATTTTTATTTTTTCTTCAACTTTTTTGTAAAAAAAATGTTAAGATAAATGCCCCCCAGCATTGGAAAGTATCATGTAACCTTGAGGAGGGGAAAGCCAGGGAAAACAAAGCAGCCAAGTCAAGATCTAATTTGGCCACATATAAACGAGGGTGAGTTTTGTATAAGAAAATGCTAACTTAAAATACAAAAACGAGAAAATAAACAAAAATAGCAGAAGTGTGGGGCACTGGCGGAGAAGCGAATAAGATAGGGCAAAACGGCAGACAAGAGACGAACTGGGAATAGGCGTCGACGTTTCACTGGACTTTCCTCTTCATGTCTGTTGTCTATCCTCGACTGAGTGATCAGGATGGATCCCAGAAGGGGATTTGAGGCTTTTCCCATCATCCTGGAACAGTCCAGTAGGCTCAAGACAATAAAAGGAGAGTGACAATGTCAGCAGTTTATCAGGTTTTCCTTCGTGTGGCTGAAGACATCCTGGATAATGAATCAGAAAAGGTGATTCGTGCTGTAACAAGGACGACTTTCCCACCTCCGGGATGAGGAAGAAGGCTCTCCAGAAAAACTGTCAGATGAACATCAAGAATGAGCAGCAGTGGCTCCCAGGAAATAAGTTTTGTTTGTTTGACTTGGATGAGACTTTTGTACATTTTTTTTTGTCTGTTTGTAAATCCCCCCCTCCCATATATATAAGATATGGGATCCTGGATATAGGAGATATATAGGGGGGGAGGATTTACAAACAAACAGACAAAAAAAAATTATATATATATATATATAATAATTTTTGTTGTATAATTCGAGTGTATTTTATTTATTTTTTTTTTAATACAAAACCAACCCTCTGTGTGGTTTCCTGGGGTTTCAGGGTAAGCTGAGATTATTAGGTGTTGGTTTTCCTCTCTTCTCCTAGCTGGGAGTTTTATTATTATTATTATTATCATTATTTTATTATTCAACTTTGATTCCTTTCTCTTTATTTTTGATACCAAACCTTTTTTATTTTAAGTTTATTATTTAAATAATTTTTTCCCAGTCTCGTCTCCACTGAGCAACATGCAAAAATATTTTTGTCGGCAATTTTGGGCTGTAACAGTCTTGTTTGTTCAAAATATATTTTTTTTTTCATGTAGCAAAAGATACCGTTTAAGAACATCTGGAAGTAATATGCTGGAAAATCCTATTGGTTATATCAATGAGAGATGCACCAAACATCAAGTGCCTTGGCCAGTGTACACCGTCATGAATCTCCCCAGTTCAAAGCCACATATTTTCAAAGCTTCCATTTCTCTCGGTGGCCTGAGGTTTACAGGTGAGACCAGCACGTTTTCTACACTTTCACATGTATACATATTATTGTTAATGTAGGAACAGCTAGATCAAAAAGGTGTGCTAAATGGTGTGCAGCTCGGCAGTTAGTCGAATTCGTGTGTCAGACGTTTGGCGCCGATTGGTTTGGAGATTCTGATGACGAGTATGAAGAACTAGACTCAATATTGGGCATAGGAAAAAGTAACAAATTATCATTGATGTAGATAAATTGATTTGTAATCAGTTTTTTTCTGTGCGATTGTAAAAATTAACATTTTATCTGAACAGATTTTAATTTTAAATTATATAACATTTCTGAATGGACACTTGTATTTTTTTATTTTCCACAATAACTAACTGTAAAGATTAATAAAACTAATAAAATAACTCGAAAAATGACAAAAAGGAGGGAAAACTCATAAGGTGGGGTTGAGATAGGAAGTTGATGTCCGAGTGGATCGAGGTCACGATAGCTCAAGTGGTAGAGCAGCGGCGTATCTAGCCGAAGATCGTGGGTTCGAATCCTGCTCGTGCCATTAACTTTTTTTCATCTCAACTAAAATCCTAAATTAATTGTAATTAATAAAACTTAAAACATACAATAGGAAGCTGTTCTCTTCACAGATGAGTATCAATTTAGTTTGTGGTAGATGACTGTGACCATATGTGTGGAATGTTTTCCTTCAAGAGGCAGCCTTTTTAAAGACAGTCAGCCAGTTATGGCGTGTGGTGAAATAAACATCCATGCCTGTACAGAACTGTTGAATGGATCTTTGAGGTAAATAAGGTATATTGAGGAAGTTCTGGAAGCTGTGGTCTCATTCACTTCATTTATTTGGTACAACTTCTTGTTAATGCATGATAACGCTCGACTGCATGCAGGTCAGTTGTCACCTAATTTTTTGGAAGATATAGGGATTACCACATCCCATGCCGCCTCCAAAAAGCGTTGAACAGCTTCAAACCGCTCGTGTAGAAAAATGGGATTCTTTTTCAAAAGATGACATCCGATCACTTATTCAACTGATTCTAGAAGGCTTGAGGCCTTCTGCGAGGTCAGAGGAGGAAATACACTTTCTTAAGAGAAAATCAGGTAATAAATTATTAGTTAAATTATAATTTACCACTAAATCATTTTCTGTTGTTTTGCTGAATTTTGTTTCAAACCAACATAAACATATTTATTTAAACTTATACATTTCTGATCTCGTTTAATTTGTTTTTACATTAAAATACGTATGTTGTAATTAATATAATGATAAAATATACATATAGTTTGAAACAAACAACAAAGTATGAGTATCTTGTTTTTTTCTTTGAGTGCATATTTTTATGTTTGTCAGGGTTTTGGTTTTGTTTTGAACACAATATCAACACAAAATACTTTATTTAGCAGTCTTTAATTATGAATTAAATATACAATTCAAATATAATTCCATCCATTCCTCTATCCTATAATACTTCCATAAAAATGAACATATTTATAATTTATTATCAGGTAAAAAGTTGGTAAATTACATTTGTTCACATATTGTTTGGCTTGTTAAATAATTTTGATCTTTTTAAAACAATTCTTAGAGCAAGGGTAAAACAAAATTTATAAAGGTTCAACTTCATAACATTGCCTTCTTTAAACACCATTTACAAATAATACAAAGTAAAAAAAAAAAAAAATAATAATAAATATAGATAGGGTTAGAGGGAAAAACCTCGAGGTGTTGGTATTAAAAAATAAATCGGGTTTGAATGCGGGGCAGTTGGATTCGAACTCTGGACCTTTACCTTACGGTGATGAGCACTGTGTCAACACCTAAACCGTTGTGGCCACGTCCCTCCCCCACTAATAAAAAGTTTAAATGAGCAACAATTGATTTTTCTCCTCTCATAATATGCATGGTACAGTTGTGTACTACTGTACTGTATACTACTGTAGTAGACAACTTTACCAGAACACGAACTCTTATAAACTTTTGCATTTATAAAATAACATATCATAAAATATGTTTTTTAATCACAAACATGAATGCAGGAAAGAATAACAAAAAAGATGAACTTTTTCAAAATAGATGAAGTTTAGTACATACTGCAATATAAAATTTTTTGACCCTGCCAGCAGGGGAAATAATAATAAATAGTTAATTATTTTTACAAAATCTGTTTAATGGAATTTATCACTTTTGCATAAGTCAGAGTTGCTGAAATTCGCACTAATTACTTATTGTATTATTGGACATTTTAATGCAAATGAAATGAATCATTTATGTTCACTTCTTATGAATTGTTTGACATGATGATATTTTAGGTCCAATCAAATCATTTTCATACTTTCAATAAGAATAAATACTCCTCTATTCATCACATTATTTCATATAATTTTTAATTTTGTCTAAATCATTACATGGTATTTGATGCATGTTAATATTTGCAATAATATAGTATTTAATTGTTTAACTATTTCATTTCAGTGTTCAGTAGGTCAAAAGTTCTGGTCTGTCTACCCATAGTATGTTTAGGTGGGTGAAAAATATAATTTTTTTGTAGTATTAATGGTCAGTTATTTTGGCTTGGCTCACTTAAAACTCTGCTGCCAATTTTTCACTGAACTTTCATTCAAAAATTGTGACGTCTACCTGGAGAAGAAATTGAAATTTTCCTTTATGTACATAGGTTTTTTCTCTGTGTATATATCTATTTCATTAATTGAAAAATTGTAAAGCATCATATAGGTTGATACTGCATGCTAATTAAAGGCCATGGTTAAAAATTCAGCAAATTCCTTCCCTTGCAAAAACAGACCACTGTCCTGTGGTCCATCCCGTATTGGACATCGTAACAGGTAAACGAATACCAAGCAGAAAAAAACGATGAAGCATGTCAAAATATTTCTGCCCAGACCAAAGTCTGAATTTTGGCAGAACCACTGTGATAGATAAAGTAGGATGGGGGGAAAGAAAAAACCCCTTAGAAATAAGAGGCAACAAACTGTAGAAACAGCTGGTTAGAAAAGTTTGAGGAAGCCCAGTAGGTCCTTCCCAATGTTATGTCTGTCAGACAGGTTTCGACTAGTTGCCATATTTGGTGGTCAATTTTAACCAAAATTAATAAAAGCTGAAGATGGTTTGGAAAAAATTTCTATTCTGTCAGTTTGTTTTCTTTGCTCCTGTAAAGTTAACTGAAATCCAAATCAAATGTTAAGCTCTTGTCTTTTTCCTCTCATGTTCTTGGTTACCTAGTTAATTTCTATTTTTACAAGTATTCAAAAGTGTTACAAATTTGCACTATTCTCTAAATATTATTCATAAATGCTAAAAATATGCAGAATGAGACACCATGGTTGTAAGTGATAGTAAAAAGAATATGCAATTGCATACAAACATAGGCTCTAGTTAAGATAATACATACAATGCTAGTGTAAACAAAATAATTTGGATTTCTTCTGAACATGATAATTTTATATTTTTAGTCTCAGGTATTGTTTTAGTCATGAACTCTGGGCAAAACGGGATAAGACAAACACAACTTTTGATGATAGCAATTTTAAATACCAATTCGATTTTTGTGTTAGCTTGTTTTTTTATCATGCTCATATTTCATCATCTTCAATGTAGTTGCCATCAATTTAATACCTTGAACTTGTGGTAGTTCTCACATTATGCACTGATACATAGTTTTTATCTTGAACTTACACACTTGTGAGTACGCTTTTAGAAATATAACAGTTTCCAATTTGCTAGATGGGTAAAGTTGGATAAATAATCAAAATACAGATGCCAAAATTTAAACAATATTCTTTTGAAAGTTAATATATGATGATAGTTTTAATACAAACTATATTAAACAAGATAAAATTACTTAGTATGCTTTTCTTGGTAGATCCGAGTAATATAATTTTGTTTATTTATCATTGGGTGATGTCTTAGTATTATTAAGTTTAAATTTTCATCTTATAAAAATGGATATTGCAGATATTTTCATTAAGACGAGAAAAATTTATTTTATTTTGTGTCTTCATTTTTGTGTTATATTTAAACTTTTATCTCATGAAAGTACAAATGCTATTTTTAAACAAGATGCAATAAATTTTCATTAAGCTTAAGGGGGAAAAATCCGAAGAATATAATTTTGAGGGTGTATTGCCATGTCTAAAAGTTTTGTTCTCATGAAAGTTAAAATTGTTAGCTATATCAAATATGACGCCGCGCCGTCGAAGTCAAATAAAAATCGAGTCTGGCGAAAAATGAGCAACTCCGACTTTTACAACACATCGAACAATTTTACCCTGTGTAAGTTACGGCGGCCTGGAAGTATCGGGCCGGTTCATATCGTCCCCCGGAGGGGTTTTGGCCCTGTTTCCCATTTTATCGCAATCCGAGACCGCCCGGAGATGCGAGGATCACCCCCATTGTGGGAGTCTCAGACGGGGGCAGATTTGGTACCGTTCAAGTTATGTTTTCCACCCGTCCGCTATTTTTTATTCTCCCCGGCGATTTTCTCTCCGTCGCATTCCGTCTGAGTTTCCCTATTTTCCAACTTGGGCACGTCTTTGCTCTCAGGTTTCGTAGAACCTAGAAACAGAGAAAGTCATTTTGGTCATGGACCTCTTCGGTCGTTCACGATCAGTTTGGTCTGTCAGCGCTGGGCCTGAAGTTGACTTGTTGGTCTATAACACGATGGGGCACAGGGGGACTTGTGAGGTTTTGGTATTGGGGTTATCAAAATGATATAATTATAATAACCTTGAAATACGTGAACAATGCAGGTAAAAAATTACTTAAATGACTTCAAATATACACTTATGTATTTTTATCGGCTCATTGGCAAGAACGCATGTACACGGTCTAATATTTTCGATCTATTATCGCAAAAGAAAAGTTTCGTAAAAAGCCTGTGATCCCATGTCAGTTTCCTAACCTTGTTAGAAATTACAATTAATAAAGGTTTTCGTTGAGATAAAAAAGTCAATGGCACGAGCGGGATTCGAACCCACGATCTTCGGCTTGACACGCCGCTGCTCTACCACTTGAGCTATCGTGACCTCGATCCACTCGGACACCAACCTCCCATCTCAGCTCGAGCAGCGGCGTATCAAGCCGAAGATCGTGGGTTCGAATCCCGCTCGTGTCATTGACTTTTTTATCTCAACTGAAAACCTTAATTAATTGTAATATGTTAGTTGGTCAAGCGGACCACGAAACTAGTGAATTTAACTTGTTAGAAATGTACAAACTCATGAATAAATGAATCAACAACAGGCACAGCACTGTAGACGGCGACCAAACCAGCGAAGATAGATCCATCGTAGACAATATGATTGGAGAACAGAGAAATTTTTTGAAAAATAGTAGTGAAAAAGTAGAAAAATTCGAGGTATTCGGTCTAGTAAATAACACTGAAAAACCTTTCTACAAGTTTGAAAAAATCAAACTTTCTAGAATTTAAGAGATATCTTTTATCTAGCTTATTTTCAGAGGGAAATTTTGAAAATATCATTAGAATATTATTTGTTTCTTTTTCTTCAAGATTGTGAGAATTTATAACATAAATTACTTACTAGGGATATTTGATGACTTATTTCCAGTTGAGCTAGTTTTGTTTACGCACTGCTTGTAGTTAGGCATCATGCTCTGCCTCACGTTCCTTTCTGGCCTTATGATTATGATGTATAACTGCATAAAAATAAAGCAAAGCAAGGATTAACCATGAATTTCTATAGAAGGGATTTTCCAATCTTGCCTTTGGTGAAAATAAGCAGAAGATGGTAACGCAAGCCGACAAGCTGATGGCGACCGACATGCTTATGATCCTCATCGGTATGTGGTTCACCGTCGCGAAGTACAAGGGGACGAAAGCGAGCCAGATCACGCACGCCGTGTACATGGTGAATCCTGAAACGTTTTCAATTTTTAGAAACACTTACAAGGATTCGGTTTCGACTCGATGACCACCTATGTGCTTGGATTCGTTGAAGGCCTCGGGGATGTTCCTCGTGAGGACCGCGTACACGGTGCATACGACTATGAGGAAGATGGGGTAGCCGAAGGCGATCATGTAAGACGCGTCGACGTAGGACGAACAGACGAGCAGGTTGTCCTCCCTCGTCGGATAATGATGGATGGCCTTCGGCGGAGAAACCAACATCCAAACAACATTGACCAACACCTAGAATGGGCGACAAATATTCAATACTCGGCAAAGTACAAATTACCCTTTATTCAACGAAATCTTCTTCACCCTATATTTAAAGAGATTTTTTTTATGCAAGCATATTTCGGGCGGGCGTCAGCTCTTTACCTTCTATTGTTAAATCATTGAAACCTTTGCCAAGAAAGATATCGAGATGATTCGTTTCTGATTTCATCACGTTCACCGGGGCCGTTATAAATTCACGGAGGCCGCCGAGACGCATTTCGGTTAAAGAAGGGGCATAAAACGGTTTATGTCTGTCTCCTAAGATAATATTTAACCTCCGCCTTTTACATTCACTCATAAATTTTTCTTTCTTCGGCTTTGCCTTGTACTCGAGCCGGGCGAAACATGTATGTAAATATTGAAAATATTAAAAAACAGCAGAGTTGTACAATCCGGATGGAAAGGGAAGTGCTAGATCCGAGAGGCGAATGCTAATTCAAATATTACGATAAAAAAGACCGTAAGTAAACGGTGAATAACAGATAATGAAACTAGGTAGACATAGATTTTTCATTATATATTAATGATTTGGAGGCATGCTTAGATGGTGGTGTATATGTGGAGGGTAGTGGCAGAATCAAGTTGTTAGTTTATGCAGATGACATTGACATAGTTTTACTCGCCTCACACCCTGCCTCTTTACAGGGAATGATCAGGTCTTTACAAAAGTACTGCCTCAGATGGAACCTAAGAATAAATCTGAATAAATCTAAGATTATGGTGTTCAGAAATGGGGGTAGACCTGCGAAAAGTGAGAGGGGTGAATGAGTATAGGTATTTGGGAATCCGACTCACGCCGGCACTGTCAATGAACAAACATGTTACGGATGCGGTGGATAGAGCAAGGATGGAACTAAATTCTATCTGGAGACCTCTTATAAACAACGGCGATATTGCATACCCGACTAAGCTAAAAATATTTAACACAGTCAGCAGGTTTATTTTATGCTACGGCGCTCAGGTTTGGGGAGGAGAGATGTTTGGACAGGTAGAGGGGTTTCTACGGTTCTTCATCAGGAGGCTGTTCAGGCTGCCTCAGTACGCCCCCACAGCCTTCCTCTATGCTGAGACGGATCTCCTGTCAATTTTTCCCTTCACTGTGAAACTTCGACTACATAATAATAACTTTATCCCTACCAGATAATAGACTCCCGAAGATCCTAGCCAAGCAGATTATAGATAAGGAAATGTATTGGTTTAAGGAAATAAAAAGGCATATCATGCAATTTAATTTGGACTTGTCCTTAGACCGGAACAATATCGAACAATATGGTTTGAAACTAGTTAGACGGTCCATTTGTGACAATATAAAGAGACAATATTACACAGCTTTGGCCAATTCAGACAGTTTCCCACTCCATAGAGAGCTTCTTTTCAAATCCCCAAATGGATCTCTCGCTACCCTTAGATAGCATGCAGTGGATAATTAAGTGTCAGGGGGATCGGTTTAACTTAAACTACAAACACTTCAAGCAGCAGGATATGAACTGTGNTTAAACAATAAAGACATATAGTAGTAGTAGTAGTAGTAGACATAGATAACAAAAATATAAACACCGAGAATGTATCCGGACCTCACCTGCATGAATAAAAATCCCAACAATTTCAGCTTCACATCGCGAAACACAAAGATTAAAACAATTTACATTAAACAAAAACACGTTAACATCAAAAACTTTTCAAGATTTAATTATTAGTAGGTAAATATGTGCATAGTTGCAATTTCTCCCCCATCTGGAACAACCTCGTTTTCTCTCCGTGATTCGTTGAGCCAAAGTTTAGCTCTTGAACTTTTTGAACAGTTAAACAATTAGATAATTGTGGATTTATATATTCAAAATAAATTTTTTTCGAATGTGGGATTATTAGTTGAAGAAATGAAAAATATTTCTGTCCCGACCCGTTCAAATAATTTAGCTGTATCGTCTTCCTCATTATCGCAAATAATTTAACTAATTGCGTCAGTACGTCAGACGGATTATCTTGCTAAGGCTCGTAAATCTTTACTAATGACACGTTAGCGCCATTGTTTAGTTAATCTATAGATTTTAAGCCCCGTTATCTAATGTCCTGCGGTCTCATTGATTAATTTGTTCGACTGCTATTCTCTCGTCAGTTATAATATTCAATAAACGTGTTGATTTTTCATGAAATGTTGACTTTTTGTGACAAATTTGCGACCAATTTAGGAAAGGAACGTTTCTTGAACGGTGCAAAAAAATTTGGGTCCGTCTAAGCGTAAAGTACAATGATTTGCAATTTTCTTAATTAAAATTTAAAATTAAAATGTATATAAGACAAACTTAAATGACAAAATTAATTTACACTAAAATAATTACTACCACTACAAATTCCTTCTCTATCACTCTCTCTCTCCTTATTTTCTCTCTCGTACTTTCTTTTCCTCCTTTCTCTATCACCTAACATATTTATTTCTTTATCTGTTTCTTCTGTCTTTCCTAATTTTTCTCTCTCTCAGCACACACACACACACACACACACACACACACACACACACACACACACACACACACACACACACACAAAGACAAACACTTCTCTTCCATTCTCCTTTCTTTCTGCCTGCCTTTCTCTTTCTCTCTCTCTCTCACTCTCTCTCTCTCCCATTGTCTCTCTATCTCTCTTTTTCTCTCTAGGTCCATCTGCTTCGTTCTATCTCTCTGTCCCGTTGATCGGGTCCTTACGGGTTTGGCAGGGTTCCGTGATAAGCCCCATTACGTCGGCGAAGTCGAAATCCCGGTCGAACCGTCGCCCCTGGCTCCAAGGTATCGCTTACTCCCGCCGTTTACCCGACATCCCAAGGTGTCCTTTCGGGCCCCTCTCTGATGGCTTCTCGACCTTGCCCGAACCCAGATATATTTATAAGACGATTTGTACGACCAGGAGCGTCTCACGACGGATCAAGTTCGAGAATCAGCTTCAGTTAGTTATGGCGTCGCATTCGGGAACATGCGCGACCTGTGCGATAGGATGAAACCGATCAAGGGTCACGATCTGCTCCGATATCTGAAAAAACGTCCTATTTACAGGTGTATCATTCACAAGATCTCGTGTCCGCCTCGTAGGACAAACTGTGAAAATTGACTCATCTGATTCGATTCTGGCACCCATCGAGAACGGCAACCGGCCGAATTTAACAACTCTCAAACAAATCAGTATCTGGTGCGGCTAAATGATTTATCAGATCCCGTTCCCATTGGAAACGGGTCAATTGATACATAAGCCATCAATAAGACTCAATTAGAACTCCCATTCCAATTAAACTCCATACCCCACATTCATACACATGACTGATTAACTCCATACAGTTTGAGGTGACTAACTCAATCTTAATACCTATTACGTCTTCAAGACATGGTACATCGTCTCTCTCTACTACTCGATTTGCCTGTCTAGCCTGTTCCTATTTGCTTATCTCTTGTTGGGCTCTCAATATAATCTATTTGATTTGATCTGACCTCTTTGTATGTCTCGTCTCGTCCTTCCCTACTCTCTCTCTCGCTCGCTACTCTCTTTCTTTTTACTTTCCCTTTCGCTCCCCCTCACCCTCGCTCTCTCGTACCGTCTCTCTCTCTCTCTCTTTAATTTCTTTAATTTAAAAAAAAATCAAACTATAAATATTGTACATGTGTTAGAATTATCGTTCATTTTACTATTACTATTTCAATGTACGCCCTAGAAGTTTAAATAATAAAAAAAACCTCCTAAAACTATCGATTTGAAATTGCATCACTACCTGAACTGATACAAGGCCGGAGCAGATGATCAGCTGAGAACGAGGTGTGATGAAGTTGGGTCTTTTGGCCGTTCGTTTGCTTGCGTTGAAGATCCTCGAAATCCTGTTCGTTTTTGTGAGCAGTGCGGCGTAAACGACGGCAAAGCAAAACCCAGCGCCAAACCTGTAAAAGTTTAAAAAATGAGGAAAAAATTCCAAAACGTGAGGTTGAGATGGGAAGTTGGTGTCCGAGCGGATCGAAGTCACGGTAGCTCAAGTGGTAGAGCAGCGGCGTATTTAGCCGAAGGTCGTGGGTTCGAATCCCGCTCGTGACAATGACTTTTTAATTTTAACCACCTTACTTAAAGATTAATTAATTGAAAAGAGTTTAGAAAACAGGTATTNAGGAAAGCTAAATTGTTGAAAAATTAGACTATGTGAAAAGTATTTGATGTGTGGAATGTAATGTAATGATATATGTATGTTATCTATATTGAATTGTTTCGTGAATGTAATGCAAATATGATTTTCTTCCTTGTTATTGTTTAATTTGAATTTGTTATTTCAAAGAGTTTCCATCAAAATGACGTACTCTTTTTATAAGAATAACCAAAGATGTCAGTTACCAATGTTGTGTAATAACATATCACGAATGCTGAGTTTAAATCAACCTTTTTTTGCATATTTATAATATTTTTTTAGTTTGTCTAAAATGTAAAGGGAAAGTTTCGTACCGATCATCTCCAAGTCCGATTAACTTAAAATGTAGAATTCACTATAACTTATAGTTATAACTATAGCTTTAACTGGCAATTTTTTTATTTATGTCAAACTGCAACATTTATGTTTGGAAAACAAATAACACATGGAATTTGATCTAAATGTTCTTGATGAGAAAGCAAATTCAATTATTACCACCAAGCATTACTCTTTTAAGGGCATCACAGCAAAACCATCTTATTGGGTTGNAATGAGGAAAAAATTCCAAAACGTGAGGTTGAGATGGGAAGTTGGTGTCCGAGCGGATCGAAGTCACGGTAGCTCAAGTGGTAGAGCAGCGGCGTATTTAGCCGAAGGTCGTGGGTTCGAATCCCGCTCGTGACAATGACTTTTTAATTTTAACCACCTTACTTAAAGATTAATTAATTGAAAAGAGTTTAGAAAACAGGTATTCAGATATCGTGAGAGCGGTCGGGTGTGATGTAGGTTTCAGAAAAACATTTTCTTTATCGTGCCAACGTTTCGATCTTTATTGAGATCATCTTCAGGGCTCAAAGTGTTTGTCTTCTGTGTAATTGTGCCATCCTTGCGTGTCGTGTTGAGAGTTTAGAAAACGTTTGAAAAAAGTTCTTGTACCTAAATTCGTTAAAAAAATTTCGTTCAATCTTATGCAGTCACTTTTTATCGGAAAACGTTTTCACTTTTTATCAGCGTTGAACGACTAATGTTATTGGGTCAGAATCATATTTTTATTAATAGCCTAGCGCTTCTGGGTTCGAATCTCTATATTGCCCATAAAATTTTTATTTGAGGTTAATTTGCAAAATGTATTGTAAAGTGGTCATGACTCCTCGTCCGCGCCACTCAAACTGTAGTTAGACGTTATGTCCTCCTCTATAAAAATAATTTTTTTAAACTTTATACATATATATTATGTTTAATACTTTATTATGTTCAATATCTTATGATAAAATTAAATACAAATTTCGTCTTTTTCGGTTAAACCTGACGCAAAAGCGTTTAATCAGTTGTAAACTTATTTCTTATATTTTATGTATTTTGTAANCGCGGCGTGAGAGTCTCTCATGCTAACCACTCGGCTACCGCGGTCCCCCTACGGGGGAGTTATGATCGGTACCGGGTGAAGACAGGACTTTTTTTGGGAGCTGATTAGCCGCACTAAATCAGACATCCTTGGTCAAGGATCATACAAGAGGACTCTTTTCAACATCGGAGACCAATATTCAAGAATAGCATTCCTCGAGGTCGAAACTATTTTCTTCTCTCTACAGGATCAGCATAACGAGGCAACTTACATACAATTATACAATACAATTATCAACCATCAACTTTAATTTGTAATCTTCCCTAATTAAAATGAATTTATTTAGAAATCGTGAGATGCGATCTGGTGTGATGTAGGTTTCAGAATAACATTTTCTTTATCGTGCCAACGTTTCGATCTTTATTGAGATCATCTTCAGGGCCTGAGATTATAAAAATTGTTTAAATTATACAAATATATGTAGGATGTGAAAAAATGAATTTATACAATGCTAGTTGATGTGTCATTATTGTGTGTCGTGTTGAGAGTACCAGTGAGATATCGCTGTTTTAATTAGGAAAAACATTTTTATATGAGGAGTCGGCTTCTTTGAGGTGAAAGGAGCGGAAAATGGGAAAGGGTGGGTAATGGTTCGGCTTGATTATCCTTTCAGGATTATACAGACGGGGATAATTAGGGAAAGGAAAGCCAAATTGTTGAAGAATAAGACTATGTAGGACTGTAATGATTGTTTTGTGTGTTATATTATATGTTTTTGTGAATGTTATTGACGTTGTTGATATTGAATTTAATTAATGTATCATTAATATAAATCATTTATTATTCATTTCCGATATATCATTCGCTGACATACTGACACATCCTGACACTATTACTGTTCAAGTGGTTAGAGCAGCGGCGTATTAAGCCGAATGTCGTGGGCGCGAAACCCACTCGTGAAATTAGCTTTTTCATCTTAATCATGATCATATATAAAAATTATTATTATTTGGAGATCGTGAGATGCGGTCTGATGTGTCGTAGGTTTAGAAAAACATTTTCTTTATCGTGCTAACGTTTCGATCTTTATTGAGACCATCTTCAGGGCTTGGGATTTACAAACATTGTTTACATATTACAATTACATTTTGGATGTGGAAAAGTGAATTTATACAATGCAAAAAATATTTTTTTTAATATTCAATCAAAGTATTTCTACTCACTCAAAGTGTTTGTCTTCTGTGTAATTGTGTCATTCTTGCGTGTCGTGTTGAGAGTGCCAGTAAGATTTTGCTGTTTTGTGTTTATATACATTGGATTTTGAAGGGGTGGGGAAGGATGTCGGTATAGAAAAGACATTTTTGTATAAGGCGTCGGCTTCTTTGAGGTGAAAAAAAATGTGTTGGTAATGGTTCGGCCAGATTATCCTTTCATGATTATATATAAAGGGATAAATAGGAAAAGGAAAGCTAAATTGTTGAAAAATTAGACTATGTGAAAAGTATTTGATGTGTGGAATGTAATGTAATGATATATGTATGTTATCTATATTGAATTTGATTAATGATATTGGCGCAACTGCGACTGAGTTTACATGTGTCTGTTCTGTAATTGATGCTGTGTTTATCTCTGTTGATATAAACCATTTCTAAGAAATTACGTTTATATTGGTTTTGTTCTGTATGTAATATTTTTGGATTTATGAAGTTCAAATTGTGTTGGTGTTCAAAATGGTGGCTGGCGAGTGCTGTAGGACTTTGCTTGGGTTTTTTGCAATCATAGATATGTTGCTTTACTATCTTGTCCAGATATTGGGATGTAAGACCAATGTAAGTTGCCGGACAGTTTAAACAGTTGATCTTGTAGATTACGTCAGATTTATTTGTTATTGATGTGGGATCTTTAATTTTGTAAAAAAGTGTTTGAATTGTTTTATAATTTTTGAAAGCTATTTTGAAGTTATCGGACGAGAGAAATGTGTTTAATTTATGTGATAGGCCTTGAATAAATGATATGGAAATGTATGCTTGTATGTTTGTATTTGATATACTTAATGTAGTATTATTAGTAATAGTGGATGGTGTTAGTGTTGAGTTGTAATTGTTGATTATTCTGTTAATTATGTGCTTAGGGTAGAGATTGTTATGGAGGATCTGTTTGTATATCTTTATGTTTTTGTGGTGGAAGGCTTAAGGTAATCATTCTGTGAAGTAACCCTTTGGCCGTGTTTGTTATTGTATGAAGGGGATGGCGAGATGTAAAGTTGAGGTAGTGATCTGTGTTTCTTGGTTTTTGATATCAATCTGTCATTAATGTGCCATCTGGTTGTTTTATTACGAGTGTATCTAAAAATGGTATTTTTTTGTTGTTTTCGATTTCATGTGTAAATTTTAGGCGTGGGTGAAAGCTATTTACTCAAGCTATGCTTAGAAATGGTTTATATCAACCGAGATAAACAAACACAGCATCAATTACAGAACAGATACATGTAAACTCAGTCGTAGCTACGCCAATATCATTAATCAAATTCAATATAGATAACATACATATATCATTACATTACATTCCACACATCAAATATTTTTCACGTAGTCTAATTTTTCAACAATTTAGCTTTCCTTTTCCTATTTATCCCTTTATATATAATCATGAAAGGATAATCTGGCCGAACCATTACCAACACATTTTTTTTCACCTCAAAGAAGCCGACTCCTTATACAAAAATATCTTTTCTATACCGACATCCTTCCCCACCCCTTCAAAATCCAACGTATTTAAACACAAAATCTCACTGGCACTCTCGACACGACACGAAAGAATGGCACAATTACACAGAAGACAAACACTTTGAGTGAGTAGAAATACTTTGATTGAATATAAAAAAAATATATTTTGCATTGTATAAATTCCCTTTTCCACATCCAAATTGTAATTGTTATATGTAAACACTATTTGTAAATCCCAGGCCCTGAAGATGATCTCAATAAAGAGCGAAACGTTGGCACGATAAAGAAAATGTTTTTCTGAAACCTACATCACACCAGACCGCATCTCACGATTTCTAAATAAATATCGATTAACGGTCACTAATCACCACACATTAAAATTAATATAAGAAATTCAAAACGATACTATTTATAGTATAGCAAGGACGTATGTACATAGTTTTCTGAAATTTGCTCATTCCACATGTACCTTTGTATGTTAAGAGTTTTTGTTTGTTTGTTTTGTTTAAAAAAATAATAATTTAATAATCTTGTCATTATCGTAGAATACATTATATCACCTCTCAAGTACAAGGAAATTTTTTTAAAATTAAAATATATAACTCCAGCAAAATAAGTCCCCCTTAATAGATATTTCTTTTTGGACAGAAGGTAAGATCCAATTAAAAAGAAAAGTTTCGAAGATCTTATTTA